GCAGTTTCATAGGAAAAAACTGCATTTTTTAAATGGTAAATTAAATGAGGTACAACAAAGACTGACATAGTTTTCTCCTAAAGAAAAAATGTGAGAGCAAAGACTCAGTAAGCTGGAACAGATTCTTATTTAATGAAGCTGTTTAAACAGCTACTTTTGTCAAATGTGGCACTGAGTTTTCATATTTTGGTATGGAAAGACTGCTCACAACTGACTCATTTTATACAAGAAACACTTTTTCTTGGGTAGATATAGGAGTTTAATTTCTTGATTTTGTATCAAAATATGGCAAAACCTTTATCAAAAGAGTGTACTATTGCAACTAATGACTTATTTTGGTTTGAGGCCTTAAACTGCAAACATGTAAGCAGTGACCATGGCTCTCGCGACCATAAGCCATCAATTTGAAATGGCTGTATTACTAAGTAGGATGCCCACTTGAAAGTTTTTACAAGGCTGAATCTTAAAACAGAACTCTATCAGTTCATATCAGACTATGTACTCTTGGCTGAACATCTGTAAATATTCATTAATGACACCAAAAATTAAAGAAAAATTACTAATGTGAGAGATATTTGGCTTAAATCAAGTTTATTCCTTTTTAAATTCAGAGATCAACTGTTCATCTAATACAAAACTTCATGCAAATTAGGCATGATAAACCGATTTTTCTCCCATCAAATTATAAAGAAGCAATGCAGGGAAGCAAGAATTTTCCTACTTTTAGCAGCCTTCCATCTCTCCATAAATAAGGATTTTGTCTGGATTACCCTTGTAAGTTATGCTAAAACAAGGAAATCAAAGATTACTACATTATACTCTGATAATTTATTATGCACAGATTTTATGCAAGACTGTGTCAACGTAAGGAGAAAGAGACTTAGAAAGACTTAGACCTTGTTTTCCTTTCTGGTTTAACCACCTAGAATCATTGACCAAGAACACATTACAGACATAAGAGTTGGCTCATCTCTGTTGCCTTTTCTTTCTCAGAGAATGAATACTGAAAGCCCAGGGTCCAGCTCCTAAGATGTCCAAGGACCCGTGCAAGACTGTGGGTGTATCTGGGTTCCACTTTCGTCATGCTCAGACTCAGTGCAAGAGTCTGCTGTTAATGGGGATGTTAGCCTTTGCTCTGAATAATTAGCAAAAGATCATGTCCTTTCTAGTTTTGCACTGAACCTCATGTGTAATTGAAACCATCAAGCCCTTCTATAATTAAAGCCTAAAGTGTTTTTTTTTTTCTTGTGCTTTTCAAATATAATCTGAATTTGAAGCCATTACATAAGAGGAATCTTCTGCATCTTATATGGTGTGTAACTCAAGCTGCCATAGTAGCACAGCAGCATTATTGCCTTTTTTTATTTTGCAAATAAGATATTTTTTCCTTCTCTTACTTATAATTACTTCTAATACTTATTATAAAAAGATCCAATAAAAGACAATCTCTTTGCAATTATGCAAACAGTAGACTAATTTTCTAATTAACAACAAAAAGTCATGATATCATAATTGCTCCATTTCCATGGCACATAAGTTATACACAAAAAGAAATCCTGATGATATAATTGCCTCACATATAGCACTTATAGCACCATGAATGAATTTCTCTTCCACTCTCAATTAAAAAGAAAGTTGTTCTATATAATTAGAACATATTTCCTTCTTCCTTTTTTTATATGCGTGTAATTAGAAAACAGAAAATAATGCATTTTTGAAAGCAGAACATAATAAAAAACCCTCTCCTTGCATTCTCATCATTAGATGCAAACACATAACAAAATATATTTCAAAGTTGATACTCTTCATATAAAACACTCAAGTTTTTAAAACATAATCAAGAATCTAATGCAATTTCAGGTACTTCATTTTTATTACATTTTACCAGTATTTTTATTTGACTGAAAATTTTAGCTGGAAATATGAGTTTTTATTCATACACAGGAATGCACATATGTATTCATATTCATATTCATATTCACATATGAGAAAATATACAAAGTTTAATTAGCAACATGGAAAACAGGAAAAAACACATTGTTTTCTCAATAATTTTTCCTATATTTTTAATTTCCAAATTTTTGAAAAATATTTTTTAGGACAATAAAACTACAGTATTTTCCATATTGTCTGATGTCTCCCAGGGGAACTGTACCTATTTCCCTGATGAGTAGGAACTGCATGTTATATTCTCAAGGAGTCACAAATGACCTTACTTTGCTTCACATAATTTCTGAGATATAGAAGTCCTAAAGGGCAGCTGTTTTGCTAGAGAAATGTCTCATATGGCCAACCTCTGTGCAACACACAGCACTGGTTATTTTAAACCCTCTGCTGTTGCTCCCTTGGGACTGGCAGGATGCAGGATGAAGCCTCCATCCCTCGTGGGTGGGAGCTGAGCGTCGGTGCTGGCTGCAGCTCCAGTGCTGAGAGCAGCACTTTGTTGGGGTGCAGAGAGCAGCCCCAGCCTGGAAAGGCAGCCAAGGGACCACTGCTCTCTCAGCTGGCCAGGGCTCTTGAGAGGTCTGCTGGGACCAGGGAATATGAGTGTTCTGGAGGAAGGGAAGAGAAGGGACCATGTTGACTCTCTGACCTGGCAAGTTATTTTGTCCTCACCTTTGATGCAACAGTATTCAGTTTTGCTTACACAGCTGAAAAGCCTTAAACATACTCCAGCTCCTTTTTTCTTAACATAGCAGCACCAGGCTTCTCACTGGAGTTGGATTTGAGGCAGCTGGGGTAAACCCTTTGATGCACAGTATTGATGATTTTCAAGCAGAGACAACTTATATTTTCACAGGGGAGAGGAGAGAATAGAGCCTTTCTTTAACAAGTCTGAACAATAGCTCTAAGGTGTGGCATGCTAGCTTTCAAGAAGCTGTGCTGGAACAGAATAACGGTGTTTTTTTCACTTCCAGTGCAAAACACTGTGAGGTATTTGGTTAACTTCCCCCCTCATGAAAAGTTCAGCAAAGAAACTGCAGAGATTTAAACCATTTTTTCCACATCCATGTCAGGATTATGTGCTTCACTAGCTCCAAATTTCCTTTTCCCTCAATCTGGAGCCCCATTTGCATCCCAAATGAACAAGAGAGGGGTCCAGGAAGCCTTAGGGAAGTCACACTGAATGAGGTGAAGTTTGAGGCTTACCATATGCATCCTGCTTTACTCTGTTATCACCTGCCATGGGATTTGTAAAGTACAAAACCAGATCCTATGGTAAATTGCAAGATTATTCCTTGATGTGTTTAGTAGTGAGGGTACTGGACACTTAAGAACCATCTAGTGTTGTTATCTATCTATCTATCTATCTATCTATCTATCTATCTATCTATCTATCTATGGGGTGCATGGATGTAAAGCTGCCTGGACACTTCAGAGACACAGGAGATGGAGCACATCCATTCAGACAGATTCTAGGATGCTGACTCTGAGTCACAATCCATTTGATTTGTGGCACTTCTTGGAAAGGTGTAACTCACTCCACCCTACCCCTCTTATGGCTGCTCCTCAGCCTGTCTCGAAATATAACCGAGGAATAAGACTGGGAGAAGTCTGGTGTATTTGACTACAGCTTTTGCAATTCAGCTGTGCTGGTTCTGCAGGGTTAGCACTCAGAAGGCAGTGGCTGGGTGCAGGTCTGACAGAAGAGACCAGCTCTTGTCTCACTGTCTCTATTTAGCTAGATATGGCCAAAGTCATGACTGCCTTCTTATCTGAGGCATATCAGAACTCAACATTACTAATTTATGGATAAACCTTTCTAGCATTACCAAGCTAAACTTCTGCACAGCACAACTGCAGCTCCTTTTCAGTCAGCTGCATCTGTCTGGGTCCAGAATGAGTTTGACATGTGACCTACTGGGTGTTGCTGACGTGAGCCTGCTGCTCTAACACTCTTCCAAGCAGAAACTCTTGCCATCATCTATGGTCTATGTATTACTGGCATTTAAGCACTACTTAACTTTATCTCACCTGTTTAGTTGCTCCCTCAATGGCAGCAAACATTTCTGTGCTTAGCAAGTATGTGTTAGATTAAGAAGCATCACCAAACTCTAATTCCTCACTAATTCTCCATTTGTCTTACAAATATCCACAGCAAAAGTACTCCTCTAAAAATTTGGAAAATTATACTTTAAGTGAAAATGTCCACTCCAGGAAAGGCAGACTTTGAGTCAGCAATCCAACCTCCTTTCCATCTATGGAGCTATGACAAAACTGCAGGCATCTCATTCTCTGAGTACTTTGCTCAAACAGGAGCCAGGGGCACTTGTTGCACTTCCTAGTGCTATGAGAGCCTTCCCTGTGCCTTTTCTTTCAGCAGAAATGTCACCTGTCTCTCATTCATAGCTCAGTATGCAGGCCAGACTAAGCTTGGAGGATGAGGAATTTGGTTTGGGAAAGAAATAGAGGTTTCTTTGCTTTTTCTGTATACCCATATAACAAAACCTGTTTTTGCATGGTGTGAGAACAAGCCTAACCTCTTGACTGAGAAGTAGGAGTACAGTAAAGACATTTAGTCCAGAATCATGAGCAGCAACACAGGATGTAAGATTTAGATCTTCTCATTTTGGTTAGCAGCCATAAGATCCTCTGGAAGTACTGAAAGTGCACAGGTACTATTTAATTACATCTACCCACGACCGACCTCCCAGCAAGAAACCTTTTGCCTCATTTCTCCCTTAAAAAATAAATAATAAAGCTTTGCAAAGGACAATATTCTAATTTTGGTTGGGAGTATGGCAGATCTGAGCAGCATGACTTTACCAGATATAAGACCAATAATGAGATTTTCTACTTAGTATGCTATTAACATTGCCACTGAAGAAACTTTTGTGCCATTCCCTCTGTCTGCTTCTATCTGCAGCTGAAATTGCCCCAAAGGATGGCCATGGTACATCTTTGCTGGACTGGACTGCTACAAGTATTAAATGCACAAAATTAAAGCTAGAATAGGGCTTCACAGAAATTCTGAGAGAAAAAAGGGTCAAGAAATAATCTTCCAGGTTCTCACAACATCTCTGTATTGGTCCTCAAAGGGTCATTACAGGAACACTTTCAGGAATGCCATTTGTGTGATGTTGTTGCTGTCTGTAAGGAAGCTACCATTAGAAAGTATGATATTGCTGGCTATATTTTGCACTTATAGTACTAATTACCTACAGCCCTTTTTGACAGTTTGGTTCCTGCATTCTTCTTGTGTGTATCTAAAAGGAAGGAAAATAATTAGGAAAGTTTTAATTATGTTGTTAGGTTTAAATGCAATTCCCTTGGCACAATCACTCAGTCCATGAACACCTAGCCTGCCTGCATCAATAGAGGAGATTTGTTTTAACATTTAAATCTCTGTGGCATTCTTTCAGCTATTTGCATTTATCAGTAAGTGCAGTTTTTGCCTCCATTTGAAAACCAGTGGCAAGGATGAGAAGTAGGGGCTTTCCTACATGAGCCAAGGAAATGTTTTACAGCAGAGGAATAGTTTATGGTCCTGCACTGATTAGCGAACAGGGATTGCTCTGATTTGCACTGTATGCCTGAAATTCCTGTGCAGGCAAATCTTGTGTGGTTTTGTGGTTTATTGAAACCCTGTCATTTAACTATGGAGTGTGAGTTTATTCTTATGTACCCAAGAAAGTCAAAGTGTTTATTGTAGAAATACTACTTCCAGGTTGGCTGACTTTGAAGCATTACACATAGTGATTCCTTATTTGCCCTGCTGCCCCTGTAAAAAAATTTTTTTCTTTGCCTCCAGCACTGATTTTACCAGCATAACTAGAAAGCTATGTGCTTTCTATATGCTATATGCTAGTTCCACATCTTCCCCTCAGGTTTTGGTCAGAAAAGCTTAGCATCCTTTCAGTATTGTGTTCAAATTTTCATGCATTTCAGAGAAAAGAGTAAAACTAATATCTGAGACAAAATGCATTGGTTTGCTCAGTGCCTGGCAAAATGAGTGCTTGCCTTCCTCTCCCAAAAGAAGTCAGCCTGGTGAGATCAAATCACTGGTGGCTGAACTTTATGGTAGTGGTCCTGAACATTTCTCTCCCAGTAACACACAACACGGGGGTCTGTGTGTTGTGTCTCTTTAATTTTGCACTAAAAAATGATTCAAATATACTACTAAAGCTAGATTGCAGTTTATGCACCTACTCTCAGGTGTGAATTTATTCTTAACCTTCCATAGGCTTACTGCTGCTTCAATTTAACCTGCTATGGTAGGTTGAACAAAACAACAGCCAGGCACCCACACAGCCACTTGCTCCCAGCAAGACAGAAGAGGGGATCAGAAAAGAAAAAACAGGATGGATCAAGATGAAGACAGTTTAATAAGTGAAGCTGTATGTGCAAGGAAAGCAAATAAGAAAGTTATTCACTGTTTCCTCTGGGCAGGCAGATGTCTAGCCTCTTCCCTCCAAAGCAAGGCCTCAGAACAGGCAGTGATTACTTGGAAAAAAAATGAAATGCCATGACCATGAGGATCCCTACTCTCTCCATTTTCTCCCAAGCTTTTATTGCTGACCATAATGCCATTTGGCATGAAGCATTCCTTTGGTCAGTTTAGGCCAGCTGTACTAATTTCATCCCCTCCTAGCTTCTTGTGGACACTTTACAAGTTGTAGAGGCTGAGTGAGGCTAAAACCGCCTCAAAAAGTGGGAAAACCTTAATGCTGTGCAAGCACTGCTCATAAACTGACAAGACACTAGTGTGTAATCAGCACTGTTTTAATCACAAATCAAATCCATATGAAGAAAATCGACTTCATCAGAGCCAGAGCCATCACACCTGCCCCCAGGTTCATCAGGGAACATGATTATCTTCTGATGGTAGGATGTCTTAGAATTTCAAGCTATGAGTCAAGACAAAAAATGCAGGCAATGGGATGCTAACTTTCTGAATAGTCAATGATTTCAGGGAAAATATGCTCTTAGATATAGTGCAAATAGCTGTATAGCTTTGTCCAGAGAAACCATACTGGATATAAGCAGAATTCACATTAGAAGAGCTCTATGCCAAGAATGAAAGGCTTGGGAACTGTTCAAATATTCAGCTATAGATTGCTTCCAATTTAGTTTCTGCATGTGTTGAAGGGCTGTACTTTTTCCATATAAAAGTCTCCCAAAGGAATTTCAATGTACCCTCTTAGCCAATTAGGTATGTGTGCTCAGGAACAGAAAAAATTGGATACTTCTGTTTCCATGAAAGTAATAATTTAGATACACAGAAGGATTGAATCACATTGAATACTTAGGATTTCTTCTTTTTCTTGGCAAGGTTAGGAGCAATGAAAAGAAAGCTATGCTGCTCAGAAAGTCTAAAATGCAAAAGATACCACAACTTTAAAAAGAAACAGTTTTTTAAAGACATAAAAACCAAAAAAAAGTTTTGATCAATAATTTACCTATATTTGGTTGGGATTTTTATATGTTGGTTGATTTCATTACACTGTGATTTTCTTTTTAGTATATTCCTTTTAATAGAAGTTGCTTTGATACACACTTTAAAACACCTTTTGTGACTAGTCCTGTCTATTGCATAAGACAGAAGGGATCATACAAAAGCTCCTCAGCTGTGTGGGGTTTCTCACATGTTCAGCTCACTCCTGTGCTGTATGTTCATCTTGTAACTGGCTCCCCAGGTCAATTTGAATCCATGTCTGCAAAATGAAATTATTTTATGTGGGCTGTCCTGTTTGTGTTTCACTGCCTTTGGCAGCTCCAAATCCTTTCCCTTTGTGTACTGCCATGGAGATGTGGGATGCCTGAAGAGTTACCACATGTCATCAGGAGCTACTTCTGTACAGGCAATGCAGAGCCTTATGATTTTTGGTCATAGGCAAGTTCATGACATTGAGCTCAGACAGCCCACAAAAAAAAAAGAAAAAAAAGGTACTTACATGTTACTATTTTCTTGCCTGAAATGAAACCTAGTTTCTGGTAGTACACTGCAGGAGACTAGGTGGGCACCTGAGATTCCATTTGCATCCTCACATTCCGAACTATGGTGTCACAAGGGGACATAGCTTCAGTGGTGAAGGAAAAAAAGAGAAAAAATTAGGGATTTGTGTTGGGTAAAAGTAGACATTGAGTCTAAGTAGTCTTCTTTTTCCTTTTTGAGGGAAGTATTTTCCAGGAAAGTCTCTGGCAACCATGGGAGAGATTGAGAGTTGCAGACATAAATACCTGTATGCTTGCACACAAAGACACACAGAGGCACATGCACACAGTTGCTCCAGACTCCTGTCTTTTCTAAACTCAGTAAATCAATCAGGTAACAAAGCAGGTGATCAAGGCACAACTCAGATGTTTCAGGTAGGCAGTGAACAGAATATTGTACAATCTGAGCTGTAAGAATTTTAGGTTTGATTTTTTTTTATTATTATTATTATTATTATTATTTTTCCTTTTCGGTGGTAGTTTAAAATTCATCCAAGTTCTAAGAAATATTTCATTGCCAATGACATGAGCCTAGTGAAATACTCTTAAGGCCAGTATAACAGGTCTGCCATTTTCCTGTCAAGGCCAATTAGATTAAAAGTTGGACTTTTCTCTGTGTCAATTCCCGAAAGAGAAAAAGAAAATGTAACTTCATCAGACAGGTACTAGTAACTGCTAAGAATCACTGAATGGAGATATATTTAATGGAAGTTAAGGTGAACAAAATCAATAAATTAAATCCAGTGTGTTTCACAAGGAAGGTTCTAGTTTTACCTGTGTACGTCTGTGGTGGGAACAGGGGGAGCTGTAAATCGTCCCTCACAATTGGTAAATAAGTCAGAAAATAGAGTTGCAAAAGACATTTTTACAGACACACTGGAGATATTGATCTTCAAACGAGGAAAGAGAACCTAAAGGAAAATGTAAAATAAATTTAAGTTTTCTTTCTTATATAATCTACATCACTGGGACTCATGAATCAAACACCATTCATGCTTGCATCATACTTTGAAGTTCATGGGTGTTTGAAAGGAAGAGAAGCATTTTTTTAGTAGTCCACATCAATAATAGTTCTATCACATTATGTAGATAAGATGTGTGTAGGCATAGGCTGGAAGAGTTCTTCAGGCAAAGCTTTGACTTCCTCTGCACTTCAGTCAGTAGAGCTTTAGGAAAAGTTAATCCTGCACTCAGTCCAGACCATAAAAGGGTCTCTCCCTTTTCCCCTACAGACAGCTGAAGGAAGGTCATGCCTATAAAATACACTGCCACTGCTGTAAGGGGTGTGCCAGCACCCACAGTAAATGAGCAACAGGTACAGTCTGATCGAACCTGATGCTAATTCACATTCCTGTCTATTCATTTTACATGGGATCTGGAGGGCTGAATAGCATAACTCAATGCAACAGATAAAACCAGGCATTCCATTTGACTGACATTAATTTCTAAATACTTTAAAGGATCTTGTATTTCTCCCATGGAAGTGAGATAAAAGTGTTTCATTGATATTCAGGGCAGAAATGAATGCAAACTCAGCATTGTGAACCTTGACTCTAGAATTTAAAATGCTTACTTAGGGAATATATAACTAATGTATCATCTACACAAAACTCATATTGTGCAATGATTGTCTTTTGAGGCACAGATGAACCTGTTAGACTTCTATTCAAATAAGCAGTGCAACCTCTCTTATACAGGGGGCTATTCTTGGCTAGTAACGTTAGCACAGTAACAGGAGAAACTAAAAAAAGGACCCATGAAGAATTGAGCTCCTGGATATAAGGTGGTTTCTGTCAGCAGAACTAGAGAATGAAGAGTGTAAATGAGCACATTTTCAATAACACTGCAAGATATTGCTAACAGATACAGTGATTAGCACAGATGCCACAGCTAAAAGCTCTTAAATGCTGTGAAATATAAATTACAAAGCCTGCATGATGTTATGCTTTCTAAGAGGTATATTTAGAAAAATGCCAAATGAGATGAGAGGATAAATTACTCCAGCCTGAGCATGGTTGAGGACCTACACCCCTGCTTCTTGTGCTTCGTTGTGAGGCTGGAAGTCTTGTGGCAGCCTTAGCCTGAGGCTGAGAATGTGGTTAACCTCTTCACTCCCCACATGTGATTTATGCTGTGACAGCCTTTTGCCGCTTACCTTTTCCTCCACTGGGAAAGGTGGGGTGACCACCCACCTCCAAAATTCATTCTGAACTTTGGGGCTTTAGTTCCTGAAGAGAAAAAATAGTTGTAGGAGAAGCAGGAGAAAAAGCTTTCAAAGTCTCTTACAAAAGTTAGTCAATGACTTTCAAAGAAGTTTGAGCTCCTAATGATGCAACATTCTGTTAGAAGGAACAGTGTTATGCCTTTCAACTCACTAGGAATATTTAAACATCTGCATATTATCAGTAAAAATATTTCCACTCAAGTGGGGCCAAAAAATTCAGTTCTTCCCAGCTGATATGTGTTTGTAATTATTTATCTCCTCAGCTAGTATTAGAGATAAAATGAGTAGCTAACTTCCAAATTAATTTCAACAAATTTTACATGAATAATTTGCATAGCTAAAGGCTTCTACATACCTGGATTTGTTGTAAAATAGTGTGTAAACTTATAAAATTTTGTTTATTTACACTTATTTTTCTTTACATCCTCAATTATCTGTGTACCTGTTAGATTAACTCAAGAATTATTGGCTGATATAATATCATTATTTTGTGAAAGTTAAGACAAATAAAAAGCTTTTAATTACTCTGTCTTTTCTTTTTTGCTTCTATCATTACACTCATAAAATACAGTCTTCTACTTCTATTTTTTGGTTAATTTAAAAAAAAAATACCTAGTCCAGTGACCCTTTGAATAGCCTATTTAAGAGAAATAACACCCCAAAAAACTGTTTATGCCCACAGTATGCAGATGCATACCATGATGGACTATACTCCTTAGAATTATCATGGGCATCAAATCTAAAGTTAAAACAGGTTGGGAGGTACAAAGCAAAGGAAGAATTTCAAAGACAAATAAAAATAATTTTATATGACAAGTGGAGGTTTACTTTTTCTTGTAGAGACTTTTTTTTTTTTTCCTTGATTCCCTCCTATATTTTCAGTTTTATTATTAACAAATGCAGGTTTTTGTATACCAGTAAAGACGGCTATGTCTGTGAGCTGATTTTGGAGAAGGCATTTGATTTTCCCCACACCAAGGAGCAACCATTCTTGTACAGCACAGCTGTATGTCTGGATAATTGAAAATAGACACAGAGAGATAGTCCAGGTGCAATCTAAGGGAAAACTGGTAGGCTACAAACCCTTTTCTCCCTCAGCTGTAAGGCATCTCAGGGTGGAAATCTAGTGGCTGCTGTTCCCTCGGTGGCTGCAGCTAAGGACATGGGAACATCCACATTCCACTGATGCAGTGGTGAATAAATTACTGTGGAAAAATCCAGTTTTATGAGGCTTGAGTGTAAAAAAACCCTCTTCCTCCCAATGCCTTGCCCATTCCTGTTTCCCTGGAAAGCAAACCTCCAGGGTAGAGAAGACCCTCAGTGTGTCCCCCACATGGGCAATTGAGTGACCAGAGCTCCAGGATACTAAGCTGACTTCAATATTACTGACACATTGTGATGAAAAGCACAGCATAGACAGGCTGACTTCAATATTACTGACACATTGTGATGAAAAGCACAGCATAGACAGTGCTATCATTTGAAATGCTCAAATTTACTTCCCTTATTTTCCATATTTTTAATGGAACAATTTAAAATTCTGTGGAAGTCAAAATTTTTGAAAATTGCTTAGTCATCAGTATTAGAAAAAGGTACTTTATTCTGACAAAAATATTTGTAGGAAATGTCTATAAGAAATGATTGAAGAGAAATAAGATGGCCTATATGCTGGCAAATAGGGACTGGAGAGTGAAAGACAACAAAAGAAGGAAATCAAAACAAGCTGAAGAGAAACAAGTGTGCCAGAAGCTTTTGGAGTGAAATTCTCTGAACTCCTGTCTGAACAATGACCTGCTCTGCCAAGACGCCTGTAACTTTAGGCTTCTGAAATCCAAAGAAAATAATCATTCTGTCTGCTGCTAATGGAAGGCATCAACCACAATTTAGGCAGGTGAATCTGCCAGACCCTGGGAATAAAGTGTTATTTTGCCAGCACTGAAAATTTCTGTGTTTGCCAAATATCACCAGTACAGCTACTGCTCTCCATCTAATGTCTCACTCTAAGCCAAGCTGCTGAGCCTGGAGTAACAGCAGCTCTATCATGTGTAGAAACCCAACTTGAACTTAAAAAGGCTGCCATGAACTTGTGTTTTGGTGCTGTAATCCCAATAGATATGGAGTCATTTCTTTTAAGGACACATTGCTGATCTCAAGGCCATCAGTGGCTTAAGCCATCAGTGACTCGAGCGAAACTGCATCACTGATTGCAAATGAACACACAGTGCAGAAAAAAATACATCTATTCCCTTGGATCAAACATGGAAGAGTGATGAAGGAAAACCTAAATAGACTCAAACCAGGTAAAAATTTCAGAGTAAGAGATACAATGAGGAAAGTAGTAATATTCAACCTATAAGAAACTGCACACATAGGCAAAAGTTTCCTGTTAAAAGCATGTCAAAAGGCAGAGATTAAAAACAGGAAAAACAAAACAAAATAAAACAAAACAAAACTCCCAGGCAAAACCCCAGCCAGTACAGAGAGAAAATAAAGTTTCTGCTGTTAAAAAACCTTTAACTGATTTAGATCACTATGGATCTAGAAATATCAAATTAAATTTTTCTGGTTTCTATCAGGCAAAGATTAAGATTTTGAAAACAATCCCAAGATATTTTTAGGTACAATATAAACTTTGTATGAAAAGGGATCTCTGAGATAACCAGATGTACAGATATAAAAAATATACCAGAAAGATATTTGATCTTAGCTAGATTCCTCAGTCATGTCACCAACCAGAAAAAGGCAAAATTAAAACAAATATGTTTCACTTCAGCATTTGATCTCATGGCATGAAAGCAGCATT